GAAGAAGTTAAATTACAGCAAGTATAAAGAGCTGTACAAAAGAAAGCAAGAATGGCATTTTATCTTAGATTGGTTAATCACTGTCTCTGAAAAAATATATTTAGTTCTTGATTTTTTACTAATATTGTTTATTATTATTTTTTTAGCATATTACTCTTATTATCCATGGGATTATTATTATTCATAGTTAATGCAGATTTGTGTCCACAATTTAATTAGCTAATTGCACTACTTACTTTTTCAGGAGTAATTAAGTCGTTAGTACCATACATCAGCGCGATCGGCACTGTGATACGCGATAAATCGTAATCGGGTGGTATTGTCGCATTGTAGATCTGCATATTTTTTTCTTGTCCGTAATCGTATTCGCAAAACTTGCCCGACTTTATTCCCTGAACGAAATGCAACACGGTTTTGATTGAAGTACCGGATGGAAAGTGAGCCAAGATCATGGGCAATAAAGTCTAGGGAGCATAAATAGTATGAAATACTATCTTAAAGTTTAATGACATGAATAATGACTGAAACGACGATTAAAACTGCATTACATTCTCGGCATTAACGAAATACTTACATAATTTAACTGTTCATCGTCGAAGCCGTCGAACAGTAATGCTATGATACCGCAGATCTGTTGTGTAAAGAGATCGACGTTGCATCCCACTCTCACCGGATACAGCAGTACACTGTTCTTTGGCAAGAGTTCATTTTTGCCTAAGGAACGCAAGATTGCCTACAACGAAAAATCTTTTATCTCTTTTCACGTCATGCGTGCTAACTGCTACTTTAATTGTGCAAGTTTCTAGCGGTACTTTTTCCGCTATAAGTACAAAGATGAAGATAAGTACAATGTATTTAAGAACATCTTAAACTAACGGATATAAATTTGTATAGTGCAAATCACTCTGATCTTACTTTTCAGATTACTGTCAATGAAATTGTGGTCATCAAAGAATCTGTCGTTAAAATTCATCGAAAACTATCAAGCTAATCAACTTACTTCGATGGAGTTTGCAAAAGGAATGATCAATCGCAATCCGCCAGACAAATTTCCTACAAAGGCTGCAGGCGCGAGGCTGATCATCATTCTGACCATTTTAGCGACTTCCGGGCGTTTTACTGCCATCACGTAAAAAGTGGTCGTACCCATCGAATAACCGATGTACGTATGCACTGGTTTCGATGTCAGATATGTAACATATGAGATCATCGCGGGTAGATCGTACGTGCCCATTTCATCAAAGCTTTCGGAATTTTATTCGACAGAATATATAATTAGATTGTCGTAAAGTCATTATACTCTTGATACTAAATTAAATTAAATATTTGTTGCAGCTACACATTATTTTTCATGCGCTGTTAATTTTATTTCTTTTAGGTGTCAATACCTGAAATCCCAAAATTTCGCGTTTGACGGCGAGGGCGACAGAGAAATGTGCGCTCTCGAGTAGGTGTTACCACGGAAGTTGCCCAACCAAACGTCATATCCTTGATCGGCCAATTTGTAAGCTGTGCAGACAGAATGTCGTTTGCATATATTTTTTCTTATAAGATTTATTTATTTCTAATAGATTTTAATAGCATTTTAACATATTTGTATATTAATATATATGTTATGCAGATTAAAATGTGAATAACGTATGGATAAAACTATTTTGCTTTTGTCGGAAAAGTTAAACAAAAATTCTGAGGCGCTTTTGAGGAAGCATTACATTGTTGCATACAAAATTTGTTAAGTAAGGGTGACAGACACACAGGTTCTCTTGCAGTTTTTTTTTGTAATTTTATAATTTAATATTTTTTCGATAATAGCACAGTCAATGACGGATCTCGAGATACTATTTGCAGATTAATTAAGAAATCATACGTAGTGCTTTTCCTTTTCCGATTATGACCCATATTGCGGAGCTGCACAAAAGACAGTGTTGCAGAAAGACGACTGGAGAATTTTCACCACCTGGAATACGATGTATTGTTAAGAGATAACCGTCCTCCGTCAATACAACATGAGCGTCTGCAGGATAACCTGCTTTTCTGATCAGCTCCAACTTGAAAAAAAATCGAAAATACTTATTAAGAAATTATTTCGCTATTAGTTATATTGCGCAACAATACGTGTTGACCGTGAATGGTGCTGAAAATTTGTACACTTCGTACTTATACTATATTGTACAACAAATTGTTACGTAACATGATTGATTGTGTATGGATTCGTTTAGTATATACATCATTTTCAGAACTTTATTTCTAAAAATTGCAATACATCTGAATATTCTTTTGCAGGATATTAAAAATTGTTTTAGAAAACAACAGTAATTATATTGTATGGATATTACATCAGTTCCAAAAAAATTAAAAACTAATCTATGAATTAATTTTACAAAATAAAAGATATAAATGTGAATATTACACTAAAACAAATATTAAAATTATGATTAATTAATATCGAGTCAATTTTTAATATTTGAAAAGCTGCAATGGTTGTAAAGTCTCTCATTTTTCTACTTTTAGTATCAAATATTAAACGAACAATAAATTAATGAAGATTTTAATTATTTTAGGAAACAGAACATTTGCTTACCGTGTTGAGATTGACATCGACATTATTCTGGATATTATTCAGCGCAGTTGACATGAGTTTTTGCAAGTTGTCGAATGTTACGTTAACCGTCGCTGCACCGAGGAATCCGCAAAGCGACAAGAAATATGCAATCGCCGTTGGCTGCATCATCGACAAAGAATCGGGAAGAACGAAAAGTCTTTCTGGATATTTTGGTAAAAGAACTACGTAAAATTATTCAAATCAATGGGGCAGAATATGCAAAATGCAACTAAATTTTGTTATAGACTTCGCTGCATATGCAGCGGAGTGCTGATGAGTTGCTATTTCGTTGAAGATAGGTTTTTATTAGTTGAGAGTAAAAGAGTGGAGGAAGGAATAAAAGAATTAAATTCTCATTACATTGTTACATGTGCTATTGATGTCATGTAGTTCTCAATTATGTACACACGGGGACAGGAATGCGTAATTAATAACTTCTTTATTATAAGCAAAAGTAGTAATAATGGAACAGGATAAGTCGCTAGAACATACTGTCTCCAATAAATGTTCAAATATAAGATTATATATTATACATATTATACATATATTATACATATTTTCGAATAAATCTTATATTTGAACATTTATTGAAGACAGTATGTTCTAGCGACTTATCTTGTTCCATTATTACTAATTTTGCTTATATTAAATAAGTTTTTAATTACGCAATCATAAATGAATCAATAATTAATCAAGACAAGCGTGTATTTTTGTTACGGAAGCAAACAATTCTCATATTCGTATAATTAAACATTTCAATACAAATTTTTATTTTTTATTAAATTAAGCCTCTTTATATGATATAATAATTAATAGAATGAATGCCGGCGGTCGGTGCACGCGGCTCAGCTACGTTTTTTAAAGAAAAGAAAGAAAAGCACGACACATAGGTGTTAGAGCGAACGCGTATGTAATAATATTGAATTTTCTCAAAAAGAGAATCAAAAACCTTTACAAGAAATAAATTTGGGATCCGAATGCGAGGAATATCTCGATGAATTTATAAAAAAAGTACCTACAGACACGATGTACAATTACAAATGTAATATAATTACAAATATACGAGAAAATGGTTTATAATTTTACGTCACCGCTGCTGAAGAAATTAATAAAAGATTACCAATTAATGACAAATTTTTGTCCACATTAACAGTTTTAGAAGCAAATGTAGCTTTATCAGATAATGATAGAGAAATATCATTTACCCAGTAAACACAAGCTAACAGTAACATAACGTCAATGTTATAATTTCTCACTTAACAATGTAACTGCGATATAACATGCCTTGTACGTAACAATTATGTTGTTGAGTGGAAAATTGTAACATTTATGTTATGTTACTGTTACTTTGTGTTTGCTGGGTAACGATGTTTCTTTTATTGTCAAAACTAGGATTTGACGAAAACGGTTTGCGGGAAGAATGGTTACATGAAGATTTTACTGAGACAGACAAAATAAATTTTTCTAACTTAAATTTTGATGATATGTGGAAAAAAATTTTACGAAGTAACAACACTATATAATATCTTAATATGAAATCTTTGGTGAATGCTATTCAAACACTGCCTAATTCTAATGCAGATCCTGAAAGGATGTTTTCAGTTTTATCTGATTTAAAAACCAAAAAACGCAACAAACTTTCGGTCACCAATGTTAACGCTCTTTGTGTTTTAAAATCAGTATTAAAATCATGTGAGGAAACAGTGCTAAATATGAACATTAATAAGAGGCATTTGTCTTTGATGTCGGCAAAGACACTGTACGCCAGTAGTCCTGGGAAAATAAAAAGTAATATAACGTTACATATTGCAGATGATGGTCCATCAACATCAAAACAATAAAAATTACTTTTATCTTGAATTTTAATTTTAAAAAAGTGGTACGATAGGGCTCCAGGCAACGGTCCACTTAAAAAAATCGAACGCGCCTAGTTAGTGGAACCTCAAAGGTGGTGTGGAAGACCACTATTATAAACACTTAAAATTACTAATGAACTAATAATACGCTACACATACTTTAACATGCTAACAAGAGTGCAATAAATCTTTGATCTATTTGACTGCATTTGTAAGATGTATTTGACTACATTGTATGTTACCGTTCCTCCACTAATCTCCACAATACAGTAACTCTTGCTAATATGCAGTAATTTAAAATAAATAGTTAAAAATTTCCAGGTGTGTAATCTTTCGATAGAGATAAATGTTAAGAAGCAAGCGTAGCTAATCGGGTAAGGCGAGTGACAGGAATATTGAAAATCTTGTGTTTGAAAACTGCTTTTGTAACATTTTTTTTCTTTTTTCGATATTTGTTTCTAGCACTATACCATCAAGTGAATTATTAGATAATACTTTTGGCTAAAAAATATTATTTTATATTTATTAACAATAATTGCATATGTTAAATTGCACTTTGTTGCAATATGTATGTTGTAAAATGACTTCATTTTTCTATTTATTATAGCACACAAATCAGTATTCTTTTTAAAATAATTAGTTATTAGTTTAACTTATGCAAATATATTATTAATATACAACATAATATTTTTTAGCCAAAAAAACATTATTAACTAATTTACACTGTTAGAAACAAATGTGGAAAAAAGAAAAAAAATTGCGAAAATCAAGTCTCGTATACGGGACTTCGAATCTGCTAGGCACTCGCCTTACTCGATTAAAAAGCGCTTGTTTCTGAGCATTTGCCGTCCGCTATGTGTTTACGTCGGCTCGATGGTAGCAAGACAGAAACGTCCGCTCTCTCTCTATAGCCGAACGGCCGAGCGCACACAG